GTTCACATTTTAAGAAGAGAAGAATTCTGTCAGCTTGATTCATTCTGGACTTTACTATTTGACTCATTAGCACATGGAACTGCATCCACCATCAGCACCCCCAGGTAAAGGACAGGTGAGTGACAGGGCAGGGGCACTTCAGGGGGCCAATCAGATTTCAGGGCTGGGTCCAATGCCCCTTTGGCCCCGCCCCTAGAACCGCCCCTGCTCCATGGTCCTGAGATGTGTGGACCCTGCGAGTTTGCAACTTTTACTTCCTGTTTACTACACACATGCATCTGACGTAATTGATTTGCTTCAAGCCAGTTGGTGGAAACACGTCTGATTCGCATTTCTTTGTTTTTTCCTTTTTGCGAAATTTTAAAAATTCACTCAAAATTCGAATTAAAATTGGATGAAGACACATTTAGTGACACGCTACTCTCTGGTGTATTGCTGACAGACAACTTCAGGACTACTCGTGGGTTTTTTAAGTCAAACAAATWGCGGGACTCCTTTCAGATTTAAACTTTCAGTGATTTTTTATTTCCCTTTATTTCCTTTCATGCAGACAATGAAATAACTCTAAACTTTATTGGTGCTAAAACTGGCTAAAAGCATGCAGCAGCTTGGATACAATCATGGTAAGAGTCAGATTATGTTGAAACCTAAAACCTTTAAAAGACGCAGGTGGACTTATTTTGATTTGTTCAAGTTTTTTCTCTACCTCTCTCTGGCTCTRGAATGTCAAGCWGTTATCTGCTCAGAAGCAGTCGTTTCTACGTTAATTATAAATTACTCTACCCCCTTGGTAAAATAGTRCACCGTATTTTCTAAAGGTTGTATTACGAAATGAAACTGATCAGCTGTAATTAATTGATCATTCAGAAATGAGGCAAAATGGAAAGGGTTTTGATGGAATCAGCTGTTTAGGTCTTATTTTGACCATAATAATAGCTGTTTATTATCTATTCTAGGCTTTAAGAGAGCAAAAAAATTGGGATTCWTTGTACTTTAATGATTTAAACCTGGGAACTAGTAGTGAATGTAGCTCCAAGCCTGAAGTTCTTAATGTTTTCTGTCTTAAAATAACATTTCTTGCAGAATCTGTAAAATATTCTYGGCCCAAAAACTAAGGAAATTAGTGTTTGGTAGTTTATTTCTTTGTTGTTTTACATTATTAGTTTTGAATTATGTGTTTTTTCAGGCTGAAATATATTGTTACTCCTGTTGGAAGTGCCTCAAGCTGCAACAAACATGCTACAGCTAGTTGCTGCTGCCACTGTTTGCACTTGCAAATAAGCACATAATGCTGCATGAAGAACTGTGTAATGAGATATTGATCAGATTTGTTTTTAGGCAGCAGRTTTCTACTTTGTTCTTGGCCCCACTTCATTGTTAGCTTATCAGTTAGCCTTTGCTGTGAAATGGCACAAATAAACAAAAAGCTGTAGTGTCTAGTTAACAACACACACAGATGTACTTACCTTTTAAATTGATTGAGATTAATCAGGTGTGGCATTCATGTTTTAATTGGCCTAATAGATTGACCAACTTCCTTTAGTCAGCTGTCAAAACAAGAGTATTTATTGTGTTTGTTCAGTAAAATCAGAGCTTTGTGTAATGCCAAAGCTGCCCTGAAAAATAGTATTTTYGTTTTGCTTCCAAAGTAAGCTTTACTTTTGCAGATGCACAACTGCCAGGAGTAGACAAGGCTCGGGTACGGCCTGTTCTTTGAACTGTAAATCCTCAGATTCTTTGTTCTCTCATAGTGAAGCTTTGAGCGAAGAAACAAACAAATGTGTGAGTAAAGCTGTTTTTGTTTGCAGTGGAGTGGAGCACCTCAGCCGACTTTAAGCACATCCTTGGTTCGGGACAAGTTATGCAGACCAAGAACCCCTCCTTCACCATCAAGAACCTGACAGCAGTGAGTCACAGATTTAACGCACATACCTGCACATAATATTGACAGAAATGCATGTCACATAATCATATGATGTGAAAGCAGCAGAAGCTCATCTATGGACTGTGTTTATTGCCTCATTTATAAACCGCTTTGAACCACTTTGCACAAGAGAACACTTTTCAACGACCTCAATGAGATGAATTAATAATGAGAGCTCCGTTTCTTTGTCCTGAGATGGTTGATTCACGAGCTTAATGCATGCTGATAATCTGTCGGTCTTCTGTTTCTCCAAACACAGGGAGAGCGTTACTTTGTAAGAGTGAGCACGTACAACGTAAAAGGATGGGGCCCGCCTCGCTGCTCTGCTCCAGCCAGCGCTGCCCCCTCCAGTGAGTATCAGAATCAGAATCCGGTTTATTGGCCAAGTATGTGGATACACACAAGGAATTAGTTTTCGGCTGTTCGTGTCTCTCTAGTATTAACAAAATACAGATACTTTACATATAATTTACACATAATACACAATATATAGAAAAATACACATTATACTTCACTGTACCAGGATTTATCTGTGCGGTGTGCTTTACAGTGTTATTCACAAAAAAAGCAATATGACAGCAGTATGCAGAGTGAATATTTATTA